ATTAATACTTTTTTTCTGTGTCTAGGTCGACGGGCAGGCTGGACTTTGTCCTTGTCTTTGGACTCCCCCCATTTAGTTTCATCATGGCTGCGATCGTGAAAGTGAATGCTGGTCCACGTCTTGCAGAAACAGATCAGGACATCGGGGATCGTGTCATCCGCCTGACGTTCTATGGTTCGGACAGGTTTAGTGCAAACCGACTTGGAGTGATGGAGTTTGTCAACGACATTGAAAGGATGGGATGTGTTGAGCGCATTAGCAAACGTGACAAGGGATACGAGTGTTTTGTAACTCTCAAATCAAGCCAAGCTGCTGAACAGCTCTATGCAAAGTGCTGCATTTTTTCCAGAGAATTTCACCGAGTTTATATGTGGAGCTTGTCCTTGTAAACAGATTGAGATCGGCAGTCAGGATACACTGGTTGCCTGAAGAGTATGGAGTGACGTTCCTGAGCAGACAACTACAGCCGTATGGAAAGGTGACCAACATCCATGAAGAGAGGGGAAACATGAAAGATCTAAGGACATTGTATTGGGGACATACGAGGTCATTTTGGAATGCTCACATGAGGATATTCGAAAAATCCCCCATTTACTTCATGTAACTGCTCCTGACTTATCAACTTTCCCGTTGCTGTTTACAGTGGGTGGTTGACGTCCTTTGTGTCTAAAGTTTGAGGAGGTCGGCCATGTCAAAAGGTAATGCAGTAACAGGGCAAAAAATTCACAGCCTGTGCTCCGTGCTGCAGCACAAAGATCTTACTCAGAGATAGTTCAAGGCAAGAATAATCAGAGGAATCATGTGTTTGAGGATGAGGAAATGGAACCGGACAAAGAAATAGATCCGGAGCTCAGCATTGTTCCTCCGGGTAAGAAACGTTTTTCAAATTCATATAAATTAATTGACCCGGAGCTCAGCATAAAAATAAAAATATCACAAAATGGCGAGATGGAAATGTTCGCTGTCGGCTAGATAGATTTTGTATCTCTGCTCCTTTAGAACCGGTTATAAAAAGTTGTGATGTGCAACCATGTTCCATTTCTGATCACGATTATTGTGTTCTAGATCTGGAGGTTGTTGATTGTATCTCTGTAGGACCTGTGTATTGGAAATTTAAAAATCCCTTACTTAAAGACAAATCATTTATATTGGAATTTCAAAAGTTTTAGGAATCTTTAAATGTTCAGGCTGATTTGTCTCTTGCGGATTGGGATCGCCTCAAGGCTCAAATTAAAACTTTTGTATTGGCTTATGGGAAAAAGTTAGCTGCCAATAAAAGAAATATTTTACTTTAGCTTCAGAGGCTATACAGAGATCTGATAGCTGCAGAAGGCCAGAGGCCTGGTGAGTATGCAGAACAGTTAAAAGCGATCAAATCACAACTATATGATTTCCATTATGGAAAGGTACAGGGAAGTGCAATCCGCTCCAGAGTGCAAGTTTTGGAAAATAATGAGAAACCATCGAAACAATTTTTACAGTCTGAATTTAAACGCTCTGGAGAAAAAACCATTCGTTTCTTGGAGAATGGTTCTGAAACTTATGACAAAAATGGTACCATTCGGAACTATTGCAGGGAGTTTTACGAAAATTTATACACCCCTGAGGAAATTGATGATTTTTTATTGTTCGGAATTTCTTGAGGATTTACCTTCCCTTGATAGGGGTTTTGGCTGATGGATAATAACAAAGCCCCCCGGGTTGGATGGGTTAAGTAAGAAGTTTTATCTCAAGTTTTGGCCTTTATTTCAAGATACATTACCACATATTTATAATTTGTCAATACATTTGGGCACTCTTAGCAATTCTCAAAAACTAGGTTGTATCTCTTTGTTATGTAAGGACCCCCAAACTCCTCAATTGTTACATAATGGGCGCCCTTTCAGCCTGTTAAATGTAGATTATAAACTGTTGTCGAGGGTTGTACAAAACCGGTTGTCATCAGTTATTGCTGAGATTGTGCACCCTGATCAGACATGTTCTATCAGAGGCAGATCAATAGCAGACAACATACATCTTCTACGGAATGTAGCTGATTATGTGCAGCAAAAAGGGGATTCTATGGCATTTGTTTGCTTGGATCAAGAGAAGGTTTAGATCGGGTAAATCCTGATTTCATGTTCAGGGGCCCTACACCAGTATGGGTTTGGTCCAGAGTTTATCAACCTGGTCAGCCTTTTATATAATAACGTTAGTAGTACCGTGTTAGTAAACGGTTACCTTTCGGACAAATTCCCGGTGAGGAGGGAAGTCAGGCAAGGCTGCAGCCTCAGCCCTTTGTCAGACGTTTGCTTCAAGTGAGTGAGTGGTATGGTAGAGGTACTGGTGCCCGTCTAAACATGGCCAAAACAAAGGCCATATCTTTTGGAAAATGGTGTTCTTCGGCCGACCACTTCGGTATATCATGGCCCAATTCTTGTAAAATTTGGGGGGTTGTTTTTGGTAGTAATGTTACTCCCGATGATAACTGGATAAAATTTTAACAAACTTCTAAATTCCAATTTTAAGGAGAGTTTTTTATCAGTGTATAACAAACTTCCACGGGGTTCTAAATTCCAATTTTAAGGATAGGTTTTTATCAGTGTATGGTAAATCCACTATCTGCAATGTCATGGCCATGTCAAAGTTGTGGTATGTCGCAGCTGTATTGCACATGCCCAAGCACTTTGTTGATATTTTCACACACGAAGCATTTGATTTTTTCTGGGGATTCCATCATTTTGAACCATTAGCTAGACGTGTTTTATATAATAATAAAGAATTTGGAGGTGTCAATTTTCCTCATATACCTACTCGCCTTCATGCTTTACGTTTGTACCATCTTCATAAAATTATTAATAATAGTCAGTGTAAGTATGCTAGTTTTGCTTTGTATTGGATTGGTTTCTCACTTAAAGAAATCAATGCTGATTTTGCTTCTAATTTAAAGCCTCATTCAGATTATATCCCACCATATTATCAAAAGATTTTAGAATCCTATAGATATTTCAATTCATTGTTTCCCAATTACAACTGGTTTTCGCCTGTCAACAGTGGCGTATTTTATCAAATGTTAATTACCAATATATGTACAGAGCCTGTCATCTTCAAACATTTTCCTGATGTACTATTTAAATCTGCACTTTTATTGCTCAACAACTCGTTTCTTGACCCCCTTCTAAAACAGTTACCATGGCTTCCCTTGATAACATTGTCCCCACTAACTTTACCCTTTATTGTAGACATACCCTTATTCAAAAAGTACTCTTCTGTAATGAAAACGAGGTCTGTTGTGGAAGTGCTCAGGAATATGTGGAAGTAGAAGGTGTAAGGATATTCTGTGGAGTCCGAATCATTAGAATGGAATTAACTGAACAAGAAAAGGAAAACGTTCCACGCATAATACGGTTTGGAGATAAGGCGTCAATACTGATAACAGTACCTGGGAGAACACCGATATGTTTGAGGTTTCATGGTTTCGGACATGTGCGAGCGAAGTGCCCTGGTCCATCACAGGTTGTGTCTACAGAGCAAGTTGTTTCAACCAATTCAGACAAGAACACACGGGTGGATAATTACAGTGATTCAGATGATGATGAGTACATGGAGAGTGTGAAAAGTCTGAAGAACAGATTCGGGACAACACAGTTTCAACAGATGACTCTGAAGGAAAGAGGAAACAGACATCACATCAGGAGTGAGTGAGTGAGTAAGTTAAAACATTAACGTCACATCGGCAATATTTCAGCCATATAGTGACGACAAAAGGTTGACATACACATTAATTAAAATAGTTAAATAGCCAGTCATCGAAGGACTGTAAAATATCTAGAGTATCACAGATGGTGTCTAAAACTAGCTTCGTGAATGTATAAATAATTTATTCATGAAGACAATTTAACATAAAATGTGCTATAGATCGCAAGCAACCGAAGGTAGATCACCATAATAGGGACCATGGGGACTTGCAGTGCCTTTGCTACCTGCATGGACCATCACATCAGGAAACAGCAGAGAAACGAAAGAAGAGCGTGACAGAGAATGTGACTGAAGTGATTGCATTATGAGACTGCTGTGATAGGAGTTAGCAGACGTAAATACCCCCAACCTCATTTGGTTGATGTTCAAGTCATAGACTTTGATAATTATCTGAAACTGTTGAAAGGAAGGACATCTGTGCAGTTGAAAAACTCAGAGAACAGGTAGTGACTGATGTAAAAGAAAAGGACAACTTCTTGTGATTCCAATGGACAAGAAAGCAATTATGCAGGAGTATAAATATATATAAAGTGGAATAGACAGACACTACTGAGTGTGAATAACTGTGATTTCAAGAGACAATATGAACTGTTCTGAATGATTTCTTCCGTCTTTAGTACTAATTGTCAGAGACCTTAATCTAACAACTGTGATAGGTATTTTTAAGATTTAGAGGTGAAGGTTGAACAGCACTGTCTTCAGATGTAATAGTTAACTGGAATAAAAAAAAAAGGCTGTGGACCCGAGGCGAGACCTTTCCATTGAACATTGGCTTAGTTGACCCCTGCGATTCGACTCTGGTGTTCGAATTGTTCAGGGAGAGAAATGGGAAAGGAAACAGAAGAAGACTGTGACTGTGAGAGTGAAACAGATCAGGCGTGAGGTCAGTCCTTACCCATTAGTGCACGTTTGATGACAGTGAGGTTGAAGAATACTTGAAGCACATAAAGGGGAAAGTCAGACTGGGAGCTAATATAAATCAAAGAACAGATATACAAGGACTTGAAATATAAAGGGAAACAACTCTTAATTCCGAAATGAAAGACAACAACTGTGGTGGAATACAAGTATAAAGTGACATAAGAGACTAATGTGACTGTGTTTAAAAAGTGACTTACAGACAATATGAACTGTTTTAAAATGTATCCATGCTAATTTCCCTTTTCTTTAGATTATAATTGTTACTAGCCTTCATCTCGACACTGTGATAGGTATTTTAAGACTCAGAGATGAAGGTTAAATGCACTGTGTGCCAATGTAATAGAATGACTGGGAATTAACCTCATCCCCAAAAGCTGTTGGCCCGGGGCGAGACATTTCCATTGCACATCGGCTTGGTTGACTCCTGCGATCGTCCCAAATGTGGACGACTCGGGTGCGCAATTTATAAGTGTGGGTGACTGCGTTCGTGCTCTCCTTAAGCAAAAAACCAACTACTTTACTTCGCCTTAGTGAACAAACTACGTGCTCCCGAGGAGAGCGAGGAGTTCTGTATGGCTGGTTCTTAAAGGAAGGTTCTTTGCAGACTACGGAGTTGTGTTGGATGTGAAGAAAGTAATCAGTATGGAGGAATTCGATGCCGGATGCCTCATGGGGATATATCGGGTGGTCATTGATATGACCTTAGAGGAAGTAACCTCTATTCCGCACATTCAGTCAAGGAATGGTTGTTGTCAGCTTCTTTTCACCATGTCAGGGAGGGCGCCTCTGTGTCTACAGTGTATGGAGGTGGGTCATATTCGCCAAGAATGTTCAGGAACAAGAAGGATTATAGAGCATCCTACCCATATAAGGAAGAAGAGTTATGCTGAGGGATCACCTGGATATAGGGATGCAGAAGAAAACCCGGGAAAGAAGCCCCACCTGAAGGAGCTGTCCCTAAACAGACAGTACCAGAGAACACCACTAATACTCCAGACGCTGCCATAGTTATACTAGAGGACAGTACTGATATACCAGAGGTCACAAGTGACCTGGAGGAACACATGGAACAAGTGAGCACTGAGGACTTTGATGCTGAATGTATGTTGGGCATCTTTGATGTGGTCATGGAGATATCCTTTGAAGACATAGCCAAGATTCTGCATCTTGTTAACATTCAATCAAGGAATGGTGTGTTCCAGCTACTGTTTACTATGTCGGGGAGAACACCCCTGTGTCTCAAGTGTCTTGAGGTTGGTCATGTTCGTAGGGAATGCACTGGTGGCAGAAAAGTCAGAGAACGCCCTATGCAGACACAGAGGAAGAGTTATGCTGAGGTGTTGGCCAGATCCAAGGGACCGACTGGTTACAGAGAGGAACAAGAAATCCCGGAAGAAAGAAACCACACCTCAGGAAGCTGCCCCCTAAGCAGGCAGTATCAGAAGATACTATGACCATATAAGAATGAGTGAGTGAGTGAGTTTAGTTTTACGCCGCACTCAGCAATATTCCAGCTATATGGCGGCAGTCTGTAAATAATCGAGTCTGGACCAGACAATCCAGTGACCAACAATATGAGCATCGATCTGCACAATTGGGGAGCCGATGACATGTGTCAACCAAGTCAGCAAGCCTGACTACCCAATCCCGTTAGTCGCCTTTACGACAAGCATAGTCGCCTTTTATGACAAGAATGGGATGCTAAAGACCTATCTTACCCCGGATCTTCACGGGTCGACTATATCAGAAGATGCCATAGTGATCCCAGAGGTCAGTAATGATATACCGGAGGTCAGAAGTTTTCGCCAGATTATGTGTTGTGCTCCTGACGACTTGGATATGACCCTGAACTATGGAAACAGACATGCAATCAACAAACAACGGCCTGCTGTCGGTTCTTGTGTTTTGTGTTGTGGCTTACAGTGTGCATCTGACGATATGGATTTGTACCTGGAATTCGATTTTTGAATATGGATATTATACAGGACGACGTTGGTATGTACATAAATATATGTTTTTGTTTATCTCTTATCTAAGTGTTACTGTTGTATATATTTGGTTTTAACTTTAAGTATGTAGATATAGTGTGTCTATTCCATTATATAAGTAGGACTAATAATCTGGCACGTTTGTTTTGTTCAGAAAAGGAGTCAACATATCAGGAACAGCCTCTAGATTCAGACACTTCCGAGATGGAGACAGAAGCTGTGTAAAGGAAACGGACACAGTCACCCATGACGAAGAAGAAGAAGGTGGCACGAACAGTCATGGACACGATAGAGGATATCCACAGAAGAGAGTCCAACTGGCAAGGTGGCCCAACCCACGTCATTAATTCCGATGGCTCGTCTAGTCCTGGAAGTGTTACAACTTAACTGTGGTGAAGTGTTTTTGAACGATCGTTACTGATTTGGATATGCCTCTTGATTATGGATTATGCGTGGTTTAAGCCTTAGGCTGGGATTTCGTGTTTGCTGTGAGTCTTTTTAAACTTTCTTTCAAGCTTATAGACATGAATATCGTTGTTATTTATGCTTGTTTTGTAGTTTTGTAAATATTATTCATGTACAGTTGTTGATGATATTAATTTGAGGGGCGCAAAATGTATACCTTGAATGAGTATGTGTCAAGTTATATGCTTCAGCTTTGACTATAATATATTTGAAATGGGATCCCAGTGTGACCCAGTTGTGTTTTGACTGTTAAGTTGTCTCCCCTGCGTCCCGGGCATGGGATGCACGTGTATGCAGCTTAAATGTAAATAAATCCATTTCAGAGTGGTTTTCCCTATCAGTATTTGTTTTCATAAAGTTAATGAGTGAGGTAATAACAAACTCACCAACCCGAGTTTGGTGAAGCCGGAATGGTGTAGATGGTAACTACGATCAGGGGAAAGCATACTTACCTGGCACACACTTCTGTGATCTGCAGGCTGTATTTTGAATACAGTATAACCTTTTTCTTATTCGCAGGTCTACCTGTAAGGGCTCTGAGTCCTTTGGTCTTCGGACTGCCCCCATGTTCAGTTGACATGGATACGGTCAACACGACTGCCAATGGACCAATGAGGTCGGAAACATTCATGGAAGTGCGCAAGTGTATTGTGCACTTTGAGTTTAATCGGGCCATAGAGGTTCCCTATCAGAAGGTACAAGTTATTCCCTTTCTTGGAGAAGAGTTTTGGGAAAGGATCTGTTACACGACTCTCAGACAGACAGACAGACAGACAGAGAAGTTTATTTCTCAACCAACCAACAGTGGTACATGAGAATATATAAATACATAGGTAAACAAATATATACATGGCAAGTGAGTGGACATGATCATTTGAATATTACTAAGTAAGCGATTTATACAATACATTCAGAAATGACTTTAGGTTCTTTAGATGTTTAGTAGTTTTATTACATAATAATTTCTGTAACATTGAATGTTTTGGAGATCACACACATATGTCGCAAGATAGGTATTTCGCTGTTGTTAGAGAAGAGTTTCACATCTAAAGAGATAGTGAAACTCATCCCCAACAACGTTAGCGTTACACAGCTTACATATTCTTTCCTCTTTTTAATAGAATGTCATCGACCGGTTTCAATTGGTAGGTTATTGCTGCAAGTTCTTAGTTTTAATATAGGAAAATATATATCCCTGGATAAGTATAAGTAGTTTTCAAAACATAGTTTATCTTTGAAACACTTATAAAATTGACCTTTAGAACTAGTTTCTATGGAGCTACGCCAATGTTGTAAAAACTAATCTTTTAGAGTAGCTTCAACTTTTAGCTACCAGCCATGACGTGGTGACACTTGGGGATTGAGAAAACCTCTGATAAACCGCAGGTATTAAGTATTCTTGTAACAAAAGATATCCATCGGAGTTGACAACCAAAGTTATTAACAGAGATACAATTATACACCACTGAGGAAAGTTTACAGTATTGGTTATTTGTTGCTACTTTATGCCAAAAGAAATAACTCGTTTGTATAATTTGATGTAGAGCGGTTCTCGGCCAAACTCGCCATACACCATAAAGTTTGGAGTGGAGCTTCGAAGGCCAACAGCAAATTTAACAAATCTGAGATGTACTTTTTCTATAATGTTCAGGTTTTCAAATCCCCATACTTCACATCCATGAAGGAGAATCGGACTTATCATAGTATCAAATGCTTTTAGGGTGCAATCAATAGGTGGGCTTAAATTTGGGGCTTTTTCCAAATGGCAAACATAGCTTTAGTTGCATTTTCTACTAGCGCTTTAATACCTGTCAAGAACCTACCATTTCTATGGAACCTTACGCCAAGATGGGTATATGTATCTACTATTTCGATTTTACTGCCCCAGCGAAAATGAAAATTTTGAATTGACTGTTTTCGAGGGCCCACTTCCAAACATGACAATCTTAGTTTTAGATAGATTAACTCCATAGTTTCCATTTGAAACAGTATTCCTGAAAGTTGTTTAATGATTTCTGAAGTTCCTTAGGTGATTCACTGAAAATGAGAGCGTCGTCGGCATATAATAAGACAATCAAATGTAACCAAAGGTAAATGTCATCCTCGTTTGCATTTTCAAAGTTCACCCCTGTACATCCATTTCTTAATAAGGAAGATTCAAGATCATTTATAAAAATAGAAAATAGTAGTGGTGATAAGTTTTCACCCTGCCTAACACCTTTCTACATTGAAAGAAGGGAGACATTTCATAACCAGTGATAACAGTTGATTTTATATTATGATACATATTTCTAACGAGCGTTACGAATTTGCCATTGATACCATATCGTAGCATTTTATACCACAGCCCTGCGCGCCATACGGAGTCAAAGGCTTTAGTGAAATCTATAAATGCACAATAAAGTTTACTCTGAGATAATTTTAATATTTGTAAAACTATATTCATAATAAACACATTATCGGCAGTCGAAAACCCTTTTCTAAATCCTGCTTGTGACCGAGTGATTTGCCACCATGTCCTCTGAGGTGCTGGCCAAAAGACTTCGTGAGACTGAATACATTCAGATCAACCCTGATGTGGTCGTTTACTTTTCTTTGGTAGACCGTATACGGTATTTTATATGTGGGCATTGGCTTCCTGCGGTGTATGGTTGTGTTTTACCTCAGCATTTGTTTTTCAGAGCTTGTGGAACGGTGATATCTGCCAAGGACGAAATAAGTGCAGATGAGTTGGTGCCTTCTGTGAACTTACGTGGTTGTTTTAGAAACCAAGTGAGTAACATTCCACGTCTAATTACGTTCCAGGTGGTGGACACACTCTTTTCAATTCCTACTGACCACGGCTGGTCCTCCACCCCACCCCCTGCTTTAAGTGCCAAGAAGTGGGACACATCAGGAAGGAATGCAAGTTTACCGCAAAGAAACCATAGATGTCCAAACCTGCACCGAGGTAAACCTTTGCAGAGGCCCTGAGAGCACATCGGACAGAAGCAGCATACATGGACAGAATAAAAGGTGACTGACTTTAAACCAGGATATAGTGGATA